GCCATGGGTTTGGGGCTTTGAGGGGCTTTTTGTTTTTAGTTTTCTGGATTTTAGCCATTCTAAGAGGTACACATATGTACTCGTTTACTGTGGTTTTAATTTAGTTTTTTCTAACAACATATGGTGCTGTGGAACTTCACATATGCTTTCCTGCCAACCATATATCTTCTTTGGGAAATGCCTACTCTCATCGCTTGGAAGTTTTTATATTAAGTTGTGTTTTATTGTCAAGCTTTAATTTTTTTAAAATATATAGCAGATGCAAGCCTTTTATCATATATCTGATTTGCAAATATTTTCTGCCAGTTATGGCTCACCCTTTATTCTCTTAACAGCATCTTTCAGAGGATAGATGTTTCTGATTTTCATTAATGCCCCTATCAATTTTTCTTTTATGGATAATGCTTTTGGTATTTTATTTAGAAAATCTTTGCTTAACCTAAGATCACATAAGTGTTCTCTTACACTTTCTGCTAGGACCTACACATGTGGTTTAGATATTAGGCTATGATCCATTTAAGGAAATTATCATAGATGGAGCAAGTTATCGATCAAAATTCATGCTTTTGCATCTGGATATCCTCTTGTTCCAACACTATTTGTGGAAAAGACTATTCTTTCTCCATTGAATGGCCTTTGCATCTCAATTAAAAAATTAATATCCCATAACTAGATGGGTCTATCCTAGACTTCCCTTCTCTTCTTTAGCTCAGTCTGTATATCGTGATGCTAAGACTACAGCGTCTTGCTCTCGTAGCTTTATAATGAATCTTGAAGTCAGGTAACATAAGTCCTCCAACTCTGGTTTTCCTTTCCAGCATATTTTGGCTATACTAGATACTTTGCATTCTGTCTGAATTTTAGAATAAGCTTATTGATTTCTGAAATTATAATTAGGATTGCATTGATCCAGCATCCTGTCACAGTAAGTCACGTACGTTTCTGGTCAGATTTACTTTGAAGTCTTTCATAAGTTTGATGCCATTTTAAGCAGCATATTTTATTGTAATTTTAATTGCTTGCTGCTAGTACATAGAAGTGAAATAATATTTTATATTGATTTTATATTATTCAGCGTTGATAACTTATTACTTCAGCAGCTCTTTTGTGGATAACTATAGCACTTTCTGCATAGATAATCATATCATTTGTGAGTGAAGGATGATTGCGTTTCCATTTGATATAAATTCCTTTTGTTTCTTTATTTTTTCCTAACTGCACAGGCTAAAAACTTCCACATAATCTTATGAGTGGAAGTCGTCCAGACATCCTTGCCTTGTTTCTGATCTTGAGAGGAAGATATGTGGGCTTTACCCATTAAGTATGATGCTGTCTGCATGTCTCACGATGTCCTTCATGAGATTTAGGAAATTCATTTCTACTCCTAGTTAACTGAGAGTTTTTATAAAGAATGAATTTTAAATTTCATTCAATAATTTGTTTCATCCATGAAGATGATCATTGGGTTTACTTTCTAGACAGTTGATATGGCGAATTACACAGGTGTTAACACAGCCTCATATCCCTGAGTAATCCCCACCTGATCTCGACGCCAGTAATCTTTCTATGCACACTTTTGGTTTGATTTATTAAAGTCTTAGGAAGCATTTTAGCATCTAAGTTCATGAGGAACACTCATCTGTAGTTTTCTTTCCTTCCCAAGTCTTGTCTGGTTTTGACGTCACATTCAAGTTCATAGAATGAATGCTGATGTGCTGTCTTGTTTGCAATTATCTGCAAATGTCATGTCTGTTGCTGCTGGTCTGTTCCAGCTGTTTCTTCCTTATCTCTGCATCATATGTTCAGCCTTCTAGCTCCTCCAGCACATGGGATGCAGTTTTAATGACCGTGTTGATGTTTTTAATGACCGTGTTGATGTTCTTGACTGCAGATGCTGTCCTCTGTGTTATTTCGGCTTCAGTTTCAATTGACTGATTTTTCTTTTCCTGTCAGGTTGGGTCTCCTGGCCTCCTTGTATACCTGGCGGTTTTAAATTGGATGCAAGACACTGTAAATTGTACCTGGTTGGGTCCTAGACATTTTTGTTCTAAAAATCTGCTAGAGTTTCTTTGGGAATGTGATTAAGTTATATAAAACTAGCTTGATGGTTTGGGTTCTTGCTTTGAGGCATCGTTAGCTGAGATCAGAGAAGAAGCACTCCCCCCTTTGGAGGGAAGTTGCTTCTTGGTATGTAACCAGGTCCCTGTGAATTATGAGGTTTTACTTTTGCTCTCTGGAGCCATTACTACCACCCGCCCTGCACACGTGATGCATTCTCTTCTCCCTGGTCTTTTATGTGGGTCTTTCTCCCATCCCGGTGTAGTTTCTTCACACATATTTGCTGATTTTTTTACTCAAAACATGCATTTGTTGATTTTTACTCAATTACATATCAAGGGCAACCTCTGCTTATCTCAGGAATTTTCTCTCTCTGTACCTCTCTCCTTTCTGACAATTCCAGCCACTCTGACATCCCCCAGCTCCCAACCCAGGTCCTCAGTCTCTGGTCTGTGGACTCCTGAGCCGTGGCCTGGACCCTTCTGGAGGATGTGGGCTGACCCTGCGGGCACCCCTCATTTGTGTCCCATCACTCAGTGATCACTGGCCTCCTTCCCTGAAGTCCAGTGTCTTCACCACTGATGTTTCATCTTCTTTAGTTATCTGGGTGAAAGGGTTGGTCGTGTTTCTGTTACGCCACACTGTGGGACACAGAAGTCAGTCCCTAACTCCACACTGTGGGACACAGAAGTCAGTCCCTAACTCCACACTGTGGGACACAGAAGTCAGTC